GAGTCAAACTCCTTCTGCACTTTGGGTCGGCCGAACATGCTGAGCATGTTCGGCCGACCCGAAGCCACACGAAGAAAGCCGATGTACGGCTGAAATTAGCCGTACCAGCCTGAAGTGAATAGCCGAACAGTGTTCGACTCACTTCACTTCAGATCGGTCATTCACTCGGCTGCCCTCGGCATCTTCGTGAATAGACCCCTATGGCTGCTCTCTGCCCCCCTGTTTCTTGTGTGCTACCTGGCTTATCCAAAAGCCCCTTTATTGGCCCTTTAAAGCCAGCTGGCCATAGTTCAAATGCAGTGCATTGTGGTTTAAAATAAATTCAGGGCAAATCTGTACAAGCCTTTTCCAGGACTGTGACTCTCACACACACACAATTTGCCTCAAACCCATGGCAGCACAGAGCCCTCTGCTCATCTTTTTAAAACCAGCATTCAAGTATGTCCAAGTGTAGATTTGTGACTGCATGCACATCACAAGAAACCTGCTGGTGTATGCCAGGCAGTATTATCAATTTAAGGGCTCTTTAAGATGTATATTATTGGTTAGCACTTCTGCCTTGCAGCACTGTTGTCTTCAGTTTGAGTCCCAGCCAGGACACTATGATGGAGTTTTCATGTTCTCCCTATGCTTGCGTGGGTTTCCTTCGGGTGCTCCAGTTTCCTTCCACACTCTAAAGACATGCTTGTAAGTTAAAGGAGAATTATGGGGAGAGTGAAATATTCTCTTCCCCATAATTAGAGCCGATGTGTGACACTGCAGCTGTCACACATCTGCTCTATTGATTGAGAACTGAGTGATCACATACCGCCGATCGCTCAGTTCCCGATTATCTCCCTGACTAACAGTCACCGCTCCCCGTAGGGATTCCCCTCTCCGTTCCTCCAGCGCTGGCTGGAGGGACGAACGGGGGAGGGGGTGGGCAGAGAGGCAGAGCCAATATTATCCGAATCCGTCCCAGCTGCAATGTGGCTCTGCGCTGTCAGCAAAAAGTAGGCAATACCCCACTATGTGCTGAGTTTCGGGTCACAGGAAGGCATTAGTGTATGTCCTCCTATGACCCGAAGGAGAAATATTGCAAACAAAGGTTGGGTCATAGTTCTCTTTTACTTGGCTCCACCCTAAATTGGCCCTAGTATGTGCATGTATGCATGTGAGGTGGGGACCTTAGATTGTAAGCTTCTTGAGGGCAGTGTAAAGTGCTGCATAAACTGATTGTGCTATTAAATACCTGTAATAAATAAGGAACGTTAGAGGAAAGCAGACAGGACTTTTGCACTGGCAATTAAGGTAACATGCTACATATAACATTGTTAATGATGGCTTACTACAACTACTTGAAAGGCATACATTTTGTAGGGGCCACGGCCAGGGTGTAACTAGAAATCACAGGGCCCCATAGCAAAATTTTGTATGGGGCCCCATGATTGCTAGTTATGCCACTTGCAGAGCCCACCTGATATATGAAACAGCCCACCTGAGAGTGACCCTGCAGAGCCCACCGTAGACTGTCTATAGTGGGCTCTGCAGGGTCTCAGATGAGCTGCACACCTCTTACCTGTCAGGGCAGTCCGCCTCCGTCTGTGGTCGCCGGGCCCCGCCTCCCTCTCCGTCCCCGGGCCCCGCCTCCTCTTCCATCCCCGGGCCCTGCCTCCTCTTACATTACTGGCTCTTAAGTCGCCGGCCCGGGCCACGCCTCCTCCACTGCGAACGCCGGCCTCTTCTGCAGCAGCTGCTGGCTCTCACTGACACAGCTCCGCAGCCGCTGTTCCTGTTCCTGAGCTGTGTCAGTGACAGCCAGAACCCTGATATGCCATAGCAACCCAGGCGGCCCACACGGCATCAGAGATATGCCCTGGAAGGGCCCCCCTGTGCCCAGGCCCCATAGCAGCCGCCTGGGTCGCTATGGTAATTGTTACGCCACTGGCCATGGCCCATAAACCTTTCGTCATGGGAATACCAGCCTGTATGCTTTATATGTTGTGCTAGTATCCTTCTAGATGGGAGACCCATTTTATTTTCAAGGTTTCAAGGTTTTTGAAAAGTTTTTTGAAAAGGAAAGAAAAAAGTGGAAGAATAATGCTTGGTGGATCGGATGACTGAGGCAGATTTGATAACTAGCTGGCCCACAAGATTATAAAAAACTGTATTCGCCTACCTTCGCAGAAGAACAAATAGTCTCAACGATTTTTGCTTGAGACAACTATACTACCATCCTTAAGTGGACACATTTTGCTGAACTTTGAATGACACATATCTTCAGTTTATTACACATGCCAGGACTAGATCCAGTTGTCAATGTTTCTGCCTGGGGACCCTTTAGTAAAGTCATTTAGTAAAGTCAGCTATAAAAAGATTCAGTTTTCATATTTTTAATTTTATTTAAAATCATTTAAGGCACATTCTTAAGATGTACTATGTGCAGAAGTTCATAGGCCTTGGGAAAAATCTGAAGAGATTAACATTTTTTTTAAGCTTAAAAAATCACTTATAGTTAGTTATCATCTGTTTACTATTTGTAGATTTTAAAAAATCAAATAGTTCCATTTTTTTATAACCGGCAGAGAGACTCTAGCAAACAAATGTATCTCAAGTGAAATACATAGGAAACTCCTGTTACTCAGTTACTTATTTCCATATTATGTTTGACTTTTTTAGATTCTAAATTTTCCGTAAAGTTGATGGTTTTGTGTTTCTTTTTTATTTTTTAAGTTTAGTTAAGTTTATATATGATTTTAAACTGATATTTTACATCTGTGTTTTTACTATATATACTTTTGACCAGTGCTAGATTACTGAGCAACAAATGCCCCCATTTTTCCAGCTTTTATTAACATTTATAGTTTATTGTCTCAATGTAATCTGAAATTAAGACATAAAACAATTAAACAATTGGTCCCTATTGACATTTTAGCAATAGGTATTTTATTGCCACTTGACTTGTCAAACATGCACCTCAAAGTTTTTTCTTTACAGTTGAACGTGATACTTGAGTACTTCAACCACTGTTAAAGGAGAACTATGAGGGCAACAGCCCACGATATACTGAGCTTTGGGTCACAGGAGGAGGTTAGAATATGTCCTCACGTGACCCTACAGAGAACTACGGGAAAAACACTTACCCCATAGTTCTCTTTTAAGTAGTGCTGAAGCTGTTATAGCATGAGGCATCTATCACGCAAGCTGTTGACTCTCAGAAACGTCTCCTGATTCAGTTGTGGTTTTGGGTCAGCCAGACTTGTTCCAGTCAGTTTCCTTCACTTTCCAAGTGCCTTTGGATGGTGTTGGAAATTGTACTTACTGACACCTTGGTTATATTTGAAATCTCACTAAAAGAAATACCTATACATTTAAGAGTTATAATAATCTGTCAGGTTTCCTTTGTTAATTGACTTCTCACAATTATGATTTGTGAGAAGTCAAAAATGTGTTCCTGCAGTACAAAATTGTCCACATAATGCTCCAAGGTAGTAGTAACACAGTTTTGTTCCAGTGCTGCTTGTAAGTAACAGAGGGCTTGTAAGTAATCTACAAAACTTTAAAGACTTGATTCCCCATACAGATAGTAAAGCAAAAATAAGGATGGCAAATTCAGGAGATGTAAGCTTCAAAAGCAAGCCAGCAACAGAAGCTCCCATATCTACTTTACTATTTTTGTATATGAAGTGAAATAAGAACTCATCAAGAAGTTTCTTGAATTTATCAACGCTATCAGCGGAACTTGCATTCCACTTTACCTCTTTCATGTCAGATGTTCATTGTGGATTCTCAGTTTATTTATCATTATATCAAACTCATGACTGCACATTTATTATTGATGCCAACTCACAACTGCACATATACTGTATTACTGATGCCAATCAATCAATCAGTCAATCAAGTCTCAACGCTAAATTGCATTCTGGTTCTATTTGTAGGATTTTTACCCAGCCAGGATCTTGTGGGATCTTCATTGATGCAGGATCAGTCAAGCATGACTTTCACTCCAGGATCTCTGGACAGCGATTGTTCTCCCATAAATCAATCGGATGATGGAATACAGGATCAGAATGGTTCACTGTCCTCTTGTTTGACAATGGTAAGAAGAGAATGATAAAGTCTTCTGAAAAATTAGAGGCAGCTGATGTTTCCAGGCAATCCTCGGAACTCAGGCCTTCTATTCCCTTCATTCATTTTGTAGCCCTAATAATGCCTAAAAACCAGGTTTGAACTTACAACAAACACAGTGAATGATACATTTCTTCCTAATAATTGAGGCAGATTGCAAGAGTCTTCTCTTTCCATGTGGGCAATGCCTTAGCTATGCTGAAGGACTGCGAATATACACACTCCAGACATGTTTTTATGCCATATCTCTGATGTCTCCGAAGCTATAACTGTATTTTGTTATTCTTATGTCATTATTGGCTCTATTACTCTTCTCATGTGTTCTTACTTCAGAGAACCCATTGCCAACTTGAATTACTATTACATAAATTATAATTATCTGGAACTTTTACTGAGGTTTAAGCTACTATTAAGAGATGAGACCAACCTCTTTATTTAGGTTTACAATAACTTAAACCTGCATTCCAGGCAGATATTATAAAACACTAATGAATGCACCTATGTGTTCCTTGGGTTTATTAAATGTATTTTAAAGCACAACCAATTTGAAAGTACTGGATTTTAATTTGGTATCAGCCTTTCACAGTCCTCAGCAGCATTTAAAATGGGGAGCGGCAGTCCTATAGGCTGACTGTATTGCCAGCTGTGTCTTCACTATCCAGTCTCGGGAAGGGAGGTTACCAGGCTGTATTGCTTAACTGCAGCAGAGAAAATTCAGGTCACCAACCTGGCTCTCCTGTGTAGTAGGACTATA